GAACCAGACATTTCTTCCTGTCTTGCAAGAAATTTCCAGAGACACATAGGCTCAATGACTTTCAGAACCTGTGCATGTTACAACTTAGGCTGGTTTAGTGTAGAGATAGAGTACACACCCCAAAACCACCAGGGCTTTAAAACTCACTCAGTGCATTAAGGACACTTTGACTACTTGCCTTGAGCAATCCCTCATTAGGGCTTAGACACAGGCGCGCTTCAACAGTTTTAAGACTGTACCTTAATTCTCTGTGCAGACCTGGCTGCTTGTCAATCAAAACCGAAACTGAAGGAAAGCTTATTTTAGGGATAGCTTATCTGAAGTTGATCACTCATACCAATTTTACTCATATCCTTTAGCTTTATTTCTATAAAGAAGCCCTCAACTTATAGTCAGGTACCAGTTGCTACATTTCAGCAAGACCAGTGGGGGAAAATCTGTCAAAAACACAAAAAACAATTGATAGGCCTTTCCTTTAGGGTTACCTGGACTCTTGTAACTTACCACATAATGATCCTACATTGCATTACAAAGATCTGAGATCTGATTTGTGATCTGCTTTAAATGTAGTACAGACTTTCTGCTTATGTAGTTCAGCCAATTAATATTCCATCAACTTACTATTTGATTCTGAATTTTCCTTTACTCCACACTACATAGAAGAGTCCTGAAAAGACTCCTCCTCATCCTCCGCCACCTCCTCTTCCTCCTCCTATTTTTTTTTGGGGGGGGGAGGTGTCAGTACTGGTCTTGAACTCAGGGATAGGCATTGTCCCTTAAATTTTTCGCTCAAAGGATGATGTTCTGTGACTTCAGTTACAGCTCTGCTTCTGGCTTTTTTGCTGGTTAATTGGAGATAAGAGTCTTGTGGACTTTCCTGCCCAGGCTGTCTTTATGCTTCGCTCCTCAATCTCAGCTTCCCGAGTACTAAGATCACAGGCGTGAGCTACCAGCCTAACAAGTCTGATGAGTGCAAATTCAAAGTTTTATGATGATTAATAATAGTGAATAATTAGCGGTGATCTGTTTTTGTCTAACTTTTTTGTTTGTGCTGGTCCTGGGGCTTGAACTCAGGTCCTGGGTGCTTCCCTAAGCTTTTGTGCTCAAGACACTACTCTAGCACTGAGCTTCACTTGTAGAGATACTCGTCTTAAGGATTTTCCTGCCTGGGCTGGCTTTGAACCACAATCCTCAGATCTCAACCTCCTGAGCAGCTAGAATAACAGAAATTGAGCTGCCAGTGTTGGGTGAGCATAACCTATTTTTCAACCCTTTTCTCTTTTCTAATTCTACAATGATTTCTCCAAATAAGATAGTGGAGCTGCTTAAAACCACGTTGGCTTTGTTTAGAGTGTTATGTTATGTCCTGTAGCCTATTTTCTCCTTTTCCTTTTTGACTGAATATTGACCCACCCTTTTTCCCCCAGCCAGCCATCTTTCCTGCTCCCAGACAACACGCAGCCTATTTAGCAAATACCTGCTCCACAGCAATCTGCCCTACAGCTCAGACCCCAGCCCAGCCCCCCAACCCCTGGGACACAGTAAGCATAATGATCCACGCTCTCTGGTTTGTTTCAGGGCAGTGACAGGTCTGTATGGAAAACGTGGCCAAGGGGTATGCTGCAAAGAAATAGCCACACCGTCTCCCCCAAGGAGCATTTAGGTCCCTGTCATTAATCTTTGCAACACTCCTAGGAAAGAGGCAAGGGACAAGTTCTCTCATGCCAGTTAATCACAGATGACGGGTTAGATAGGGACATCAGGGCGGCCAGGCCAGCTTGTGCAGGGTTGGCGAGAAAGTATGAGTCTAAAGAGAGAAAAAGTAAGAGTCCTGAGGTTCCTTCTTCATGCAGACTCTGCACTGGCCTCTCCCGTGCAGGTTGGTTGCAGCCTGAGCAAAAGTAGGGCTGTCTATTGCAAGACTGTTTAATTTTCCAGGGACAGATATCCATACGCACAGCCTCTCCCAGTTGGCTATGTTCTTCCGGCTAGTGCCTCAAACTCAACACCAAGTATCTGTTCTTAGTAGCTGCCCCTAGGTTGAAATTCCAGGCCTGTAGACAAAGGTTTTCCAAAAGGCCTACCTGTCATGGAAATGCTCTGACCACACACTCACAAGATTCTGATCCAGGTAATCTTCACTATTGGCTTGACCAGCCAGCCACCTTCTCTAGCCCCTCGTCCTCAAAGGTGCCTCACATGAAGAACTAGAACTGCGGGTGCTGGTGGCTCATGCCTATAATCCCAGCTACTCAGAAGGCTGAGATCTAAGGATCATGGTTTGAAATCAGCCCAGGCAGGAAAGTCTGTGAGACTTTATCTCTGATGAACTACCAAAAAAGCCAGAAGTAGAGCTGTAACTGAAGTGGTAGAGCACTAGCCTTGAGCTAAAAAAGCCCAGGGACAATCCAGGCCCCGAGTTCAAGTCCCAGGACTGGCAAGTGCGTGCGCGTGTGTGCGCGCGTGCACGTGTACACACACACACACACACACACACATACACACACTAAATGACCAGAACTAACCAGGTGACTAGGCAGGCTCTGACGCCACTATTGTCTATAATGGACACGGTTGTGTTTTTATTGTCATTTTTTAAAATACAAAGCCTTGCTATGTAGTCTAGGGTAGCCTCAATCCCTCTAAACTCCTACACGAACCTCTTCAGTGCTGGGATTACAGGTATGCACCACCACACCTGGCTGCTTTTATCATGTCGCAATGTGAATTACTTTCCTTGAAAAGCTGCAGGTCTACACACAAGCCTTCGTATAGTTTCATGAAGCCAGCATTTCATCTCTTATAATGCAATCTATTGTTTGTACAACTATCATCCACAGGCAACGGCAGGAAAAGCAAAGTTATCAAAATAAGAGGAGTTAGGAAATAAAGATGGAAACTCCTAAAAACATTAGAAGTCTAAAACCTAAATTTTTGTGCAATGCAATAATTTATATTAAAAATAATGAGTTAATGTTTACTGAGAACTCCCTATGTGCCAGGCACTGTACAAATGTGCTTTATACGCATTATTTCATTTTAACACGTACAGATATTTATGAGGGAAAACTCTCAATTTTACAGATAAGAAAACAGGGTTTCAGAGAAGTTAACTGCTCAGGAAACCACTGCCAGGATTTGAGTCCCAGGTGTTTACTGGCTCCATGATTCTCTCCTTCTGGTTGCACAAGATTCTGGGGGTGGGTTCTGAATTGAAACTTAACTTGTTTTTGTGAACTAGTGTCGCTACCGCCTCGACCAGCAAGGAAGACGCGACACCGAACTCTTCTCTCTGCAGTTTATTCAGGACCTTTGAGCAATCTTCTGACCCCAACCCCGGGGAGAATTCCCCACAGCCTTAAGTACCCGCTGGGTAGCCAACCCTGATACGCCACGTGGGAACCACCAATAGGTTCAGGTGCAGGAAGCAAGCCAGATTCTTTGCCTTAGCCATATAAGGAGTTGTTTACCACAGAGAGCACTGGCCATCGGGAAGGCGGAGGGCGGAAGCTGGCGCCATCTTCCAGGTGCGGCCTCTCGCGGCTCTCTACAAACTAGCAGTGTCCTGTTTTAATAGCAATAAGTCTTCCATCACTATGTAATTGTGTAGGGAAAAAAGCCCACATCCTTGAACAAATGAGATTCTTAGGTTAGCATAATGAATGGGAAAGAGCTCTGAAAAATATAAAGCATGCTACAGAAGAATGGGGAGATATCAGTGTGTGAGGGATGTGCACATTAGCTTAGTGCAGACCAGAACATTGTGCAACTCAGACTGTCTCCTTCCCTAGCCATGGGTACACCTGGACAGGTGAGTGATCTAGCTATGTTCTCGCTTGCTGGCCTGAGCTATGGAACACACAGATGTTAAAGATTTATCCAGCATGAAACCTCTTTCCCGACTTACTTCTGGATCAAGGATCCCTTGCTTGGCTCTATCATCCACATCTCTCAAAAACTTTTCTTTGACAAGCACGGACAACGATCGTGCAAATGCTAAGACACTAAGTGACATGGATTACCATCACGAAATTGCATGGATTAGACATGAGTTTCCCATTTTTGTGGGTTACCCATAAACATGTCAGCAGGACCTGTGATTCACACCGCCTCCTACCTGCCCCAGGTGAGCTCAGGGCAGGACGATTCCAGATTTCCAGCACCACCCAGTGGGAGGTCCTGGCTTGTCCTGAACGTGAAGAAAACCACAGCACAATCCATGAACAAACGAAAACACCTAGAAGACGATCTTTTCAGAGATAGTTATTATTTATGTATTATCCAGTGCCAGTACTGAGGCTCGAACTCAAGGCCTCACATTCTTTTCTTGGCCTGTTTTGCTCAGAGCTGGCTCTCCACACCTTGAACCACACCTCCACTTCTGACTTTTGGCGGGCTAGTTGGACGTAAAGAATCTCACAGATTTTTTTTTTTCCTGCCTGGGCTGGTTTTAAATCTCGATCCTTAGGTCTCAGCCCCCTGAGTGGCTAGGATTCCAGGTGTGATGAGTGGATGTAATGGACCGTGTGACCTCAGGTGTGGCCGGGGTGGGCGGCCCCTGCGAGGCCGGTCCATGCCCCGCCTGCTCCCAAGCAAGAAGCAAAGCCGGAGAGTGGCAAACAGCACGGCCTAGATCCTCAGGGGCGAAACACAGGCTGGACCCTGAGCCCTGGAAACCAACTGACCTCCGCTCCTCTCCTCCCCCGGCCTCGGGTGAGGAGCGGGCGGCTCCTCCTCCGGCGTGCAAGGCGCGGGTGCAAAGTACGAAGCCCGGGCGGCGCGCACACCAGACGGCGCGCGGGCCCCGGGATCGCCGCGCCAGCCCCCGCGCCGCCGATCGGACCCCCTCGCCCGACCCCACTCGGGGGCGCCGCGCCCGCAGACCCCGAGCTCCCCACCCCACCCCACCCCACCCCACGCGCAGGTGGCGCGGACGCCCTGCGCTCGGGCGCCCCCTGCCGGGGAGGCGCACGCACGGCCGCCGCCGCCGAGGAGCCGCGCGCAGGGCGGGCAGCGAAGCTCGGGCGCCGGGCGGAGAAGCCGGGAGCTTCCCCGATGGTGGTGCCGCCGCCGCCGCCGCCGAGCCGGGGAGGAGCGGCCGGGGGGCAGCTGGGCCGGAGTCTGGGTCCGCTGCTGCTGCTCCTGGCGCTCGGGCACACGTGGACCTACCGAGAGGAGCCAGAGGACGGCGACAGGTAAGGGCTTAGCGGCCGCGGATCGGGGCGCGCGGGGGACGCGGGGGGCGGGGGGTGGAGGTCTCCCGCCGCGATCTGCGCCCCGCCGCGATCTGCGCGCCACCGCCCCCCCCCGCCCGGGTCCCCCAGCCACTGACCGGGTTGTCCGGGTGGGTATGAGCAGTGCTGCCCTCGGTGCTCTGGTGCAGTCGCGCCCCTGCGCCCGGCTTCCTCAGCCTTTCCCCCACTCCGGATCGTTCTAGCTTTGAGCCTCCGAACCCGAGGCTCGGGAGTGTCCGGGATCCGTGCGGAGATCCCGGCGCTCACACCTCCCGCCCACCGCGTCCCGCTGCGACTTTTTCCTCCTAGGGAAATCTGCTCCGAAAACAAGATCGCCACCACCAAGTACCCGTGTCTGAAGTCTTCGGGGGAGCTGACCACGTGCTTCAGGTGAGCCCGCGGCTTGGGGTGGGGGGGGGACTGCAGGGTCGGACCCGGCGGGGTCCGGCGCACCCGGGTAGGTGGAGAGGACGCGCAGGAAAGGATCGGAGGGGCGCACGCGCTTGGGGACCCCGCATGTGATCCCGGGAAAGGCCGGGCTCCACCCCCGTGTGACTGTGGACCCCGAGCCACGCCGAGCACCCGCGATTGCCGAGCCCACACGGGCTGCGGCCGTGCCCCGCGCCGGGTCTTGCCTGCGTGGGGAGTGGGGAGGCGGGAGGGCAGCGGGGGTTGGACTGTCGTTGTAAACAGCGCGTCCCCGGAGAAGATGGATGCTTGCCTTTGCACTTGAGTTTTGTGTTGGACAATGTCAACAAGGAAATACTTGGCACTTGTTTGTCTTTCGACCTTGGGTTAGGACAGAATGTATCAAGGCTTGGGGGAGGCTTGTGGCCGGATGATGTGGTTGAGTTGAATAAAAACGACCCAGGAGATTTATGGACATTCCAGAAGAAGCATGATCTTCCTGGAAAAAAAAATACAGATCACGCGTGTATCTAGGTGCTGTAAACTCGGTCATCGGGGTGCTTATTGTAACTAAGCGAGGTACAGGGTCAGGGGACCCATTGTTCAAACGCTCCTAGGGCGGTTGCTATCCGTCCAGATTCTCGGCTTGTTGGGGGCACGCTCCTCTCACCCCCAAACGTTGATTGGTTATCTGAGTTTTCAGGGCCGCCTGCAAGCAAATGGCACCACGGCTGCACTCGGTCGTCTGGTTGTGTCTCGAGAATCAAGGTTTCAAACTACCAGGATGTGTCTTACTGGGTAGGACCTAGGTGACAATGCTCTCTAGAAATGGTTTGAAGGGACAATTTGAATATTCATGACGCGGTAGCCAATGGATGCTCGCGGTTGACTCTCTCCTCCGCATCCTCAAAGGGTCAGGTGTAACTTGTAGGGCTGATGGGCTAAACGCTTCATCAGTATCATCAGGCGCGGCTGCATCTTCCCATGCATTGAAATCCGTCTACTTGGTGCCTTAGTCACTTCTGAGACACAAAGGACTGCCTTCTCCTGGCACATGGCGGCCTCGTGGCAAGCCCGACGTGTGTTGGCTTAGGATGAAGGAATGTGTAAGGATTGTTAGGAGTAACTGACTGAGCATTTGCTGTGTCTAGCCTGGTTAGTGGGATAGCTTGCCTGCTTTCAGCACCAGGTTTCATCTACATGCCCACATTATTTCTTAGGACCACGTTGTTTTCCTAGCACTGTGGTGAAGCCTTTAACGTGGAAGATGTCCCTGAGTTGGTTTGTTCATTTATCCAGTCCCTAAAGGTCAGACTTCCTATAAATCTGCCACAGTTACAGAACGAATGTCAGGCTTTCCGAAACCAGTGGTGCTTGATGAGTCTGTTTGTTACGCTGCTCCTGCCAACTTTTCCAGATTGCAGAAAGCACTGTGGGATTTCTCCTACCTGGTCCTAACCAGTGACATTAGCAGCATCTTGGCATGTGTCTTCACTAACCAGCCACCCAAAGATATCGTATGTCAAGGAAAATAGTCAAGAACTTGGGTTTACGGAATGCCAGAGAGTGTTTTCAGCTTGGGGAAATGGGTGTCGGTGGCTTATACTTATAATCCTAGCTACTTGGGAGGCTGAGATCTACGGGTCTCTATTTGAAGCCAGCCCAGGAAGACAGATCTGTGAGAAGCTTATTTTCAGTTAACCAACAAAAACAAAATCAGAAGTTGGAGGAGTGGCTCACATGGTAGAGCACTATTCTTAAGTGAAAAAGTTAAGTAAGAGCACAAGGCCCTAAGTTCAAGCCCTGTACCAGAGCAACCACAACAAAAATGGTAATGGTCCCTGTGAATAGTAATACCTTGAAATGCTTTTTAGTTTTAGTTTTTTTTTTTTTTCCCAGATTGAATCTTGTGCTGGCCCTGGGCCAGCCTTGGGCCATTATCTACCTACTTAGAAATTTCAAAGTTAGTTTCATAACAAACACTAACATGTAGCACATGCGCAGAGGTTCTATTACCCTTCGGGTCTCACTTGGACAATCAACCTTACATTATCCTATTGCATATAAAAGTGGCTCATAGCTCCAATACTTTTCCTTTCTTGTAGGATTTTTTCTCAGTTACAGGTTTCATGTCTCTTTAGACATTCGTCTTCCAATATGAATCATGCCAAGTCCCCAAATTTAATAAATGCTTTTTTTTGCATGAATGCTATTGACAGCTTCATGAATTAAAGCTAACATCTGTTTAGCATCATACTGCTAAATAGGATGTACTCTTACCAGTAGTTCAGATAAATTACACCTAGCCCTGATATCTTAATATGAATTCATTATAGCCCAAGCAAACATATAAAACAAACATTATAAAGCTGTAATTGTGTTACTCGTCTGTGACTATGAGACTTTCCCACAAGTTGATTTTCCTAATTTCAGAAAGCTATGTGGTTTGAACCAAAGGTGTGTGTTTACCTTTTACTGGGTTTTATATCAGTAAAAAGACATGTTAAAAGCTTTCTCAAAAAAACAAAGAATAGGGCTGGAAACGTGGCTTAGTGGTAAGGGGCTTGCTTAGCATGTATGAAGCCCTGTGTTCAATTCCCCAATACCACATAAACAGAAAAAGCTGGAAGTGGTGCTGTGTTCAAGAGGTAGAGTGCTAACCTTGAGCAAAAGAACCTCAGGGACAGTGCCCAGGTCCTGAGTTTCACGCCCCAGTACTGGCAAAAACAAAAATCAAAGCAAAAAATAACCAACAAAGACTATGGGTATAAAAAAAAGCAATAAAATCTAGTTTTTGAGCAAGGCAGTATCTAATAAACACCCTAACTTTTTTTTTTGATTCCCTAAGAAAGGATCTGAATATCAGCTAAGAACTTAAAATACATCTAGAAGACATTTGAATATAAAATAATACAATATCCATAGACTCACCGTAGACTTCATCTTTGGGCTTGGTTTGGAATACACAGCGGCTCACAGTGAACATGGAAGTCCTGTCATTCACCTTATGTTATTGACGGGGAAGAGATAAACAACTGGGAATGGCTTTTTGGGCCTCTCTAGCAATAGACAAATGGTGACTTTGTTTTTCATCACATCTCAGTTTAGAGAACACCTATGAGAGTTTGCCTTTGATTCATCGACCTCCAAGTGCAGGTCAAGGGTCATGTCCCCCCCCCCCCCACTGCCCGCCCCTCTCAGTCAAGCGTGTGTCCTGTATGGTGTCTGACTAGGAAGTCTTCATGCTGAGGCTGGCTCTGGTTCCCATGGGAAAAGTAGCATGGGACTGCAGAAACTCCCACTCTGCTTCCGAGAGAGCCAGCCAGTGCATTGCCAAACCCTGCAACCACGTGGACGTGAATGTGGAGTTTCTGCAGATGTGTTTACCTAGAATTGGTACGGCAAGATGCTCGTTCAATTAGGGAAGCACCACTAGATTGATTGCACCTGTTAGTGCTAAGGTTCCATGAAAAGGGAGAGCTGTGGAAAACTCTGTTCCTGCAGGTGGGCAAGTTCCTACCGAGGTCTTTGACACTGTCCAAACATTCTGATCCGCTTTGAATCCCAGCTCAGTTACTTAGGTGTGTGATCTTGAACAGCTTCTGAATCTCTGGCATTCACTTTCTCCTTGGTAAACTAAGGAACATACGAATTCGGAAGGTATAGGGTTGCCGGCAAAGGTTATTCATGAAATTTGTGATTCAGGGGGAGTGCTGGATGAATAGTACTCCCATCAAAACTGGATCGTGTTGGGGCGGTGTGCGAGAGTGTGGAGTAGAGGCTCAGTGGACACTTGTTGACTTTTGTGAGTTATAAGAGTTTTATAAAAGTGTATGTGTGTGCGTATGTGTGTGTGTGTGTGAACATTGTGGGGTTTGAACTCAGGGCTATGCACTTGCTAGGTAAGTACTCATCATTTGAGCCACACTCTAGCCCTTTTTTTGGTCATGTGGCTTGAACTCAGGGGCCTGGGCACTGTCTCTCACCTTTTTTTGCTCAAAGCTAGTATTCTACCACTTTCAGTTTTCTGGTGATTAATTGGAGAAAAGAGTCACATGGATTTTCCTGCCTGGGCTAGCTTTGAATATTGATCCTCAGACATCAGCCTCCTGGGTAGCTAGGATTACAGGCATGAGCCACCAGTGCCCCATTTCAGCTGTTGTTTTTGTTGTTTGTTTTTTAGGTAAGGCCTTGTGTTTTTGCATGGGGCCAGCCTTGGACCACATTCCATGTATTTGTGTTCCCCACATAGCTGAGATCATAGATATGAACCACCACACCCAGTTGATTTGTTGAGAGGAGGGTCTCACTAACTTTTCCCTTATGGCTGTTCTTGAACCAGGATCTTCCCAATCTCTTATCTCTGAAGTAGCTGGGATTATAGGGCCCTTATAATAGATATTTTGGAAGAATAAATCTAGACCACAGCCAGAAATACCAAGGATGTTTCTCTACTGCTCAGCATCACTTATTTCTAGATGTTTTTCTCAGGTATAAGAGAGGCAGGAAATTCAGCACTGTGAGAAAATGGCAAAGACATCTCTGCTTCCTGTCCCACTAAGGGACTGTAGAGCCTGTTAGAACTTGAACCTACCTGGTTTTACACCAGAGGTTCACCCTTGCTCAGGGCCACAAAGGAAGGTATTGGCAGAAACAAGGAATCAGACCCCTAGTCTTTATTTTTGCCCCTCTGCCTCACCGTTGAGGATGGCTTGGAGAGTGGCTGTGGGAATAGCTCCTCAGGACAGGCCAGTGATGTTCTCTGAGACACAGATGTCTGTCCTGTCAGCTACAGCCATGTCCTTAGAAGCCAACTCCATGCCCGGATGGAGAGGTTATTTCACATATACTTGTAGAATGACTGAGTGAACCGATTTGTTCATGTTAAGGCAAAACAATACTGAAATTGACTTAAATCCTGGGACTCTTGTGGCCACCCAAGTATGCACCCTTTAAAAGCTTGAGACATGGGAAGGCATGTG